AAATTGTTATAATCAAACAAAAATGAAATTAGTCGAAGAAGAATTGACACGTGTATACATAGAGAACAATTGTACGTGTTGCATCATTTATTATCCTTTTTTTTTTTTTTTTTCTTTCAAATTATTATACAATTCGAATTGTCTGGACAGGAGACATGTCGTGTCGTGTGTGTGAACGACGCACGATATTGTCTGGCAGGTAGAGCGGTATGCGTTTATTCATCGGTATTTGAGGACACGCCTTCCACTCTTTGCACCAGTTTTTCTCAATGCCTGTCACAACGCTACGAATCTTTCGAATTCCACTTGTAGGGAGGGAATTTTTCGAATACGTTTTCCAGGGAACAAAAGGGATAATTTTTCGATAATTAATCGATCGATTTCAATAATAATTTTCGAAATATCGTGGTATTAAATTTAATTGTCAGATAATTCTCGCTTTTTTTTCAAAGGGGGGAAATAAAAAATTGGGAATAAAAGTTGGCCTCGTCTCTGAACTAAACTCGTTACGTGATTACAACGCGAACTTTTGTAGAGAGAGGCGAATAACCTTGAACCGAGAAGGGGAAAAAAGTGAAAATTATTCGAAATTTGATAATCGTCTATAGTCCCTCAGTTCATCGCAGTAATAACTCGAAGAAAATTTTCGAGCATTCGTGTGTATATTTTCCGCAATTATTATTTTCCACCAATGAAAAGGATGAATCTCGTGATGAATCGCGCCCTCTAGACTAGGTGAGATTCTAGTTGTACGAAGTAACGATCCTCGTATATTTCGAGGCGGAGAGGAAAGGAAACTTGAGATATATTTCACGTCGGAGGAATTGAAAAATTACAATCGTCCCCTCTCGCCAGGATACAATATTCCAACACTTAGGTTCGTTCCACACTCATTTTCGCGAAAATCGCTTCGAATCTCTTAGAAAGAAAGATACAAAATTCTAATAATTAAAGATATTGTTTACTGATTGACAATCCTGACACCTTACGTTAGATAGTTGTAGAAGAGGTATAATTTGATTATTCAAAACTAAAAATTATTTTCATTATCGTAAAATTAAGTTAATCCAAGATTAGAAATTAAAAATATTTTCGAAGCTATAGAATTGTCTAGCTTATTCGTATATTCGAATACGAAATTATACTTATAAATAAATTAAATTATCGTTACGAATTATAATTAGTTTATTGATGAGAAATAAATAAATTTTTGTATTATATCGATACGTTAAAATTTTCTGGATTCTATACCTACGCTACGCATCGAGGTTTAGATAGAAATCGTTATTCTGAATTGGTATATGTGACGACGAACACCACGGTAGAAACAAAAATACGTGTGAAAATAGGCGTTTCCTTTCTCGTTAACCAATCAGCACGCGAGACTTCTTTCCACCAATGAACAATAATATTCACTGCTGAAAAAAGTCTAGTAGAACGGCAGAGAAACAAGAGAAGTTCTTCAAACGTTTTGTTGATAATTCTGACGCTACACACTATATAATGGAAGAACTATAATTCGAATATTTAAAATTGTAAAAATTATTGTGAAGTTAGGATAATCATCTAAGACTGAAATATTTCCGAAACTATCTATAGTGTTTAGCTTATTCGTTTAGTCGAATACGAAATTACATTTATAAATTAAATTATTGTTAGGAATCGTAATTAATCTGTACGTTAATCATCGATTGAATTTGTGAAAATAAGCGTTTCCATTCAAATTATCAATCAGATCCGCATTCCTTCGTGTCTTCTTCGTGTTCTGTCTCGCGATTCGCGACTCTTCGATTCTCCTTCTCTTTCCTGTATACTTTCAGCTAGGCAATATTCAAATGCATTTGACCCTCGATCGTTGGAAAAAGGTTCTTCTTTCCATTCAACGTGGAATGTTTCTACATCCGCGGAGTATTCGTCTCCCTCGATTCTATACAACCCATAAAGCCTTCGTTCAATATTGAATATGTATATACATATATATATATCCTTTATTCAGCTTTTCACGTTCTTCGTACCATTTATATCTTTCTCCACGTTTTTATCGCTTGGCTAATTGTTAGCATAGCGGTGAATAACCGATTCAATTTTTATAAATTTAATTCACATTCAAGTATTTAATAAATAATCATTTTTCGAAATTGGTTTATTAACGACTTTAATCGAATTATCAAAAATTTGATCAAAACATCGGAACGAGAACGTTTCCAACCGATTGTATATCTCGTTTCGTCGAAATCTCGTTTTCCTGGAACCTCCTCGACTCGGTTGGAGTCGAATTCACACCAACTTCGATTACCGTTTACCCATGACTCACCTGCGGTCGCCGGCTCGAGACAGAACAAGGGGATGAGATGGCGGGAGGAGGAAGGAAGCGAGGAAGAGGTGGGTAACGAATCAGCCGCGCAACACGTAAGAAATATCGCGTTACCGTCGAACGGTAAGATTTCGGTATCGCGGTTAATGGGGGATCGGTTCATCGTCTCGTTATCGGCCGACATCGATACTCCTCTGTTCGTCAGCGCGATTTCGCGGTAACATCGATCCACCCTATCGATCCTGACCACCCTCAATGCACAGAATGAGGCCTAAAGTTTCAAGTGCAAACGGATGATTCCTCTTGTCGGAGGCTTCCTTTTTTGAGAAAAATTTGAATTAATTTGTAATTGTAATACGAACGAATTATCGATAGGAGATTATTATGTGACTTTAACTTTTCATAATTCCATATTTTTTTGTTTATTTTTTTACAAGTTTTCGGTCGTATTCTATATTATACGAAGAAAGAGGGGATATCACGTAAGCAGGATTTGGTCGTACGTATTTTTATTCTCACGTCGGCGATTACGTAACAAGAAAGTTCCGATTTCGTGGCAGTAGCGATTCGAATAGGAGCTGGACAAAATTATTATATTGCTTTTTATTATAATTTGTTATTTCATTAAAAATTATATATAACATAAAAATAGAAAGTTTCTACTTCATTCTTATGGAACGATGTGGAACATGTAAAAAAATCATTACATCGCATATATGAATTTCTAATACGAAGTAATTATTTAACTTTAAATTTAATTTAAAAAGAAAAAATAAAAAACTTATCGATAATTTATTTAAATTAAAACAGATGTTTCGAGATGTTATATCCATTACAAAATTGAAATTTAAATGCTTCTTAAAAAATTTACAGAATATTTCTCAACTATTGAATTAGTTCTCTGTCTATATACGCGTATTTTGTCTTATCTGTAAACATGTTTAAAAACAGAATTTAAAATTTTAACGCATAAGAGTTTTAATGGTATAATTATCATACAATTTCCACGTGGAAATAATCTTGATAATGCTTATGAAGAAACGATGTTCTTACATTTAATCCATTTTTCTTCGCGGATAGATTTAATAAAGATCTATCTATTCGCCAGCAACAGACGATTCTTCTCCCACGCGTCGCTCTTCGTGCCAGAGATGTCGTTCTGCGACCACGCGGCCCATTATCTTGCGTTATTACCTCGGTATGCGTGCTTATCAAGAGATAATCCTCCAATCTTCTAATCTCGTTCATTTGAATCGCGGCGCATAAGCGGAGCGCACGATTACCATTTATATTCCGGGTCAAGGGTGACGAACACAGTTGCCTCCTTTCTTCCTCCACTGCGAAAATATATCTAGAGGCGAATCGAAAGTTCGACGATTCAAAGATAAAAAAACTTCGCTGCTTTCGTTTATACGATTGAACGCGTTGCGTAGAAATTGTTGAAGAAGATGAAAGATCCGGAAGGAAACAGATATACGAAAGAATAGAAAACGAAAGTTTATGTCATCCTCGAGTTACAAATTATAATTAACATAAAAGTATAATAAAAATATATATATATCCTTTTCTCTATTTTATCCTTTCGATCGAATTAATTCTCCGGATTTCCATTTTTCTATTCCAATTTTTTTAAAAGCAACCGCGTTCAGGTTTGAAAAATTACCGTGATGGAAATAGAATGGAACGCTCGAAAACGAACCGTCAGCTTTTCCGTCTCGAATTTCGCGTCTCCTTCCGCAATTAACTTCTCCCATCCCCGATCCCTCCGAACGATGAAAAATTGCCGCCGAATTTTTACACGTTCGCGGAGTTCCCTTATTTCCCGAAATTTCGCCCGTTGGGGGACGGAAAAGGAATTATCGGGCCGGCAATTTCCACGCGGCCGTTGTGTGTGTCGCGCGTTTATCTCGAAGCGCAAAGCGTGAGTTGCGCAAGAAAACGTTTGCATACACGATCGTCATTAAGGTTATCGTTCGTATCTGCCGACACGCCTCCCCCCTCCACACTCGCCTCCCCCGCAACACTCCCGTCCTAATTACTTTTTAACGCCGGCTATAAAAGGAAGTAAGCGGTTCTCGAGCTTCTCGAACCGGCATAATCGTAAAACCATCCGACAAGCTCGGCCTCGTAATTAAGACGCCGCCACGCGTGGGCGTACAAACCTTCTCCGTCTCTCTCTCTCTCTCTCTCTCTCTCTCTCTCTCTCTCTTTCCTCATTTCTTTTCACAATAAAATTGTTACAACCTCGTTTTTCTTTTCTACTCGTCTCTTTGCTTCCTCGAGGATTTAACCCGTTGCGTTTCAACGAAGTTTGCTGCTTCTCCTGATAGATCCTTTATTGATTAACAACGGAAATCAACTGATCCATTATGACAATACAATATTTTATCACAATACGTTGATGATTTTAAAACAAAAATTTAAAATGTTTATAATTATACGCTTTTGATCACCGTTTCACAGTTGACCGCGCCACGTTCTTCGTTCCACCTTCTTCGAATAATTCCATTCGCGTTAATGTAATAACAGTTTCTCGCCTAATGTTTACAGTTTTTACCGCGTTTTATTCGCGATATTGTTGAAGGTAACATTGACACGGAGGACAAAATATATAATAGTGACGGAACTCGAATCGCGGGGACGGATTGGTGGAGAGGATAAAGACGTAGCGACGATCACGTTTCAGGTGAGGAAGGTATGCGGCCGCTCGGAGCTGGAGCCGTCGTCTTCGTCGAGCGAGAGGAGCGTCGCGGATGCAGCTGGAACGGGGAAATCGTCGTCGAGCGGGATCGAGACGCACGCAGCTGCCGCTGCGCCCAGCCGGACCTTGCCATCCCAGTTGCACGTGCAGCTCGGCAATTTCCTGGCCAGCGTGGTCAGGTCTCGCACCTTCTACGGCACCCTGGCCGACACGATCTGCGAGGAGTATCCGGACAAACGGTGCTGGAACGGCGAACGAGTCGGGGAGTGAGTAGCGTTCTTTTCTTTTTTTTTTCTTCCCCTCCCCCCCTCCCTCCCCTCGCTTTTCAACTCTCCTCGAACCTCGATGGAGGAGTATTACCGTTCGAATTTTAGTATTTTAGGAAAAATCGCTCGAAATTCTTTCCGACGGCCAACTTCGACGTCTCGTCTACGCCAAAAATGTTCCGTTTCCATCGAATTTCATCTTCTTCTCGAATATATTATTCTTCCGCTCGCTCGCTCGATCCGTTCATTTATCATTAATTTTCACAAATCCAAAATTTCCGTTCGCATAATCCTCTCTAATCTTCGAACAACGCCTTGTTCGCTTGAATTTTCTCGCAACTCGCATCGAGGCTTAAGTAAGTAAGGGACAGGTGGATCTTCTGTGGTTCTAAATGTTCGGAATGGAAAAGGAAAGGGAGAGAGAG